AGGGGGTCTGGTCGTCCCGCCGGGGAGGCGGACTGGCAAGTTAGTCCGCAGATGAGTCCGCGAGGCGGGGGTCACCCGGCGGGCCTTCGGGGAGCCAGGAGAACCGGGACCGGGTAGGGTGAGCCCTCAGGCGGCAGCGGGAGGTGGGCAGGCGGCGGCGCGGGGGGGCACTTGGAACTGGGATTCTGGTGGGAAAGAGGACTCTGGGAGGATCTGGAGAGTGGAGGTTGGGCACAGCACTCTTCCGCGAGGACTGGAGGACTCGGGGAGGGAGAGGACAGGACGGACGGGAGGCGGAAGAGCCCCGTGGGGACGGGGGGCGGGGGGCGTCCCTGGAGGGGAGCGTGGAGGAGCGCGAGCCCAGCCGCCAGGTTTTAAGGAAGGCCCTCGAGCTCTGCGAAGGAAGATGACCAGGCTGGCACACCGGGTTCCAGTACGTTACCAGTGGAGAAATATTTACATAAATTAGACGAACACAGAGGAATTATTTGCTTTACGTTGTAAAACACCAGATCTGAATGTTTTCCTTTGATTAAACCTGACACTTTCCGCCAGCATCCCGTTCCTGGACTGGCGTCCACTCGTTCATTCCTTCAACAAGAACAGGCTTCCAGAAGACACAGATCCACAGGGCGGCTGTCAGAGCCCCAGACAGACAGCCGGAAACAGGCAGGTTCCGTGCTCCACTCGGAGGCATGTGTCTGAGAGAAAAAGGAAGTGGGATCCAGGAAGCACGGGCAGCAGTTCCTCTGCCTGGCTTTCTTTCCTCCTAGCTGCGGAGACTGGCCTTCTTTTCTTTATTGCCTCCAGTGTCTTGAGATGCATTCCTGTGCATTTCTCTTCTGTGATTCTTTTGGTTTCGAGTAACAGCCAGTTCAGTCTGCCTCTCATAAATGAGGGAGTTTATTGACTCAAAAGACTAATGAGTCTCAAGCTCTTTTCCCCTGTTCACATTCCCCTGGGCCAGCGTGGGCCACTGCCCACTCCGCTGGACCACTTACCATCCTGGCTCTCAGACTGATCCTTCTGACCCGAGCCGACCTGGAGCTGGTGGGTGCAGAGGTGCAGCTTTTGCTTGCCTAGCAGCAAAGATAAGAGGCCTCCTCTCTGGGATAGGGGAATTAGCCTGGGGAGAATTTTTCTCCAGGTCTTGGTGCTCCTCCCTGTAGCCCTGAGAGGAGAGGGGAGGGGAGCCCTTCCAAAACTTTCCCTGGTCCAGGCCTGTCCCACAAATTTTCCCACAGACTTTACACTGGATTGCCCCACCCATGATTGCCCTGCAAGTGTTCCAGGGGCACACTCACCTGTGGTGACCTGAGAGACTCAGAGTCCAGCCTGCCTTCCAGCAGCCTCTGGCCTGGGCCTGCCTCTCCACCTGGCACCTGGGCAGGAGGCCGGAACAGAAGGCTGCAGAGAGAAGAGGGCCATCAGAACACCCGCCTTCCTGAAAATGAACACACATCCCACGTGACACTTAGCACTGAGAAAAGACACTGGCTGGTGGCGGGTCTGGGCAGGACTGCCTAGGAATGGGGGACGAGCGGAGAGCCCATGGGACCTGCCTGCTCCTGCCTTTCACATCCAGGGACAAGTTCCTGCCTTTTCAGCTCTGGAGGGAGGTCCTAGCCCCAGGAGAGACTTCACCAGCCACCACTGAGGCTTTTCCGACTTGGGCAGCAGCCCTTTTTAATTGTGTGTGTGGAGATGGGAACCAAGGGAATGTGCTCAGGTCCTGAGAGTGGACAGGAAGCCTGGAGGGCTGGGTGTCCACAGACCGCCTGACACTGGTTTGAGGTGGCATCACAAACCTGTGAATTTTGGAGAGAATCAAACCCTTTGCAGACCCCACCTTGTTCCTGCCTCCCTGCCTCTCCCTGGCTGTCACTGGGGGCAGTGAGCATGACTGGGCTCTCCCACACCCCTCTCCTGCAAGATTGTCAGGCCACACTCCCTTCCAGACCCTCTGCCTCTCCCCAAATTAGGGTCCTCTTCCTCCAGCTCTGTGCTGGGGACAGGGGCGGAGTTCACAAGTCTGAATTCCCAGGTGGGAGCTGGAGGTGGTTTCTGCAAATGAGCAGCTCCTCGGGAATCACCAAGCACAGACAAATGGAAATCCATATGCTCAGGCTTTCGCTTTCTCTTGTGACTGTCCTTCCTTGGCTGGGCACAGTGTTGGGCAAGGGGAACTGTAGCCATGGTGATCTGTGGCCCCTCAGCTCTCAACCAGAGAGTCCACTGCCCCTTGTTCCAGCCTCAGACCCTCCACACACAGAGTGGTGGGCTGGGGCCAGAGACAGGAATGACCTCATACCTGGACCTGACCTCCAGCTCCAGTGCTGACCCAGGTCAGCAGCACTGGTGGGCAGCGTGGGAGATGGGCTGGGGGCGGGGAGCGCCAGTGTGCAATGTCTCCAGCAGCTTATTTTTAGTTGTGTTATGTAAGTGGCTTCATCTCAACGTCACGTAGGAAGGGGGGTCTCAGATTTAATTACAGGATGACAGCCTTTGCCTTTCAAGCAAGCTGTTCTCCTGGCAAGGCAGGCACAAGGATTGTGAGTTTTTGCTCAACATAAGTCCACCCAGCAAAACTTTAACCGGTTTTCACTTCTGTTCCTCTCTCTCACCTTCCCTGGCTCTGGCTGAGCTGGCCCTTGGTCTGAGAACCCGGGTCAGTCTGTGCCCCCTTCCTTGGCAGCTTCGCTTTCTCTCCAAAGGAAGAAGCCACCCAGGCAGAGCTCTTCCTCCTTTTTTCCCGGTCTTGGGTTGAAGCTCCTCTAATTGTAACCAGAAGGTTCCAGAGCACGAGAGAATGGGCGGTACAGGAGCCCAGTTCGCACGGACTTCTGGGCCAGTGTCAGGAGGACCGGGTCTGTCCTCTCTGCTGTCCCTGGCCTTGCTGCCTGCTCCCTGCCAGCATTCCTGGTCCCTGGAAGGTAACTGTCCACACTGCATGGGACACTGCTTTCCTGGTTCCTGGAGGTGCTGAACAGCTCACTGCCTGCTTCGTGCCCTGGAGCCACCCAGTTTGGAATCCTGCCCCCTACAAGCACAAGGGCCATCTTGGCCACTTTGTCCAGTGTGTAAAGCAGGACCATGGTTCCATTGCAAGCTGTCGCCTACAGGGGTAAGAAGGAGAGCGTGCCATCTACTTTGTGGGAGTGCGGGGTCGGGGGCGGGGGGGGGACACACAGCTTGGGAAGCAGGGCCAAGGTTGCGGGGAGTCAGTTCTAGGAGCTTGTTGCTCCTGCGTAGGCAAGAGGGAACTCTTGTGGTTGCTGGGCAGGTTTCACAGCCTCTCTGAGTGCCTATGAATGGAGATTAGGGTTAGGCTGCAAAGTGATGTTGGGAGGAGCCAAGGTGTAAGACTCTCGGGTCTAGACTGGCACATGCTGAGCCTCGATATGTTTTAGAGAGCACTGGTGTTGTCAGGTGGGATGGGACATCTCCAGAGAGCACCCAAGTGCTGCCCAGAAAGTCCCATTTGTTAGAGGCTGCCCTTTAAAAGGTGAAGGTGCCTGAGGGCTGTGGAGCCCACTCCCCTCCTTACCTGTGAGCTGTGGAGCTGTGCACAAGCTTTCTTCAGGAGAGCACTGAGCACCATAAGGAAGGGGGAAAGAGCAGCTTCCCAGCCAGAAACCTTAGCGCCATCTGCCTGGTGGTGAGACCAACACCAGTGAGTGGTCATGGAGACGTCAGGCTCTGGATACCTGGATATGATAGCACCTGTGGATGCTACCTCTTTGGGCTTCCTCTCCAAACCCCAGTCTGATTGTGAGAAAAACATCACAACTGTCAAGGTCACTGAAGACCAGAGAAGTCTGAGAAAACGTCATCCAAGAGGAGACAGGACAACTGAAGGTCATGTGGGAGTTTGTGTGTTACCCTGGACAGGACATGAGAGAAGTCTGAATAAACTTCAGTCTTAGTGATAATGTGTCAGCACTGGCTTAACCAAAACAGATTCACCACACCCCTCTAGGGGCGTGTGAATTATTGCAGTCACTATTCGCTTAAACCTAAAACTATTCTGGGATCAACTTCATCAAAGGGGGCAGTGGTCCTGACACAGGCCTTCAGGGGCATGAGGGAGTGTGCCGGTGTCCCAGCCTGGAACCTGTGGGGCCCTGAACCCCCTCTGCCCACTGCAGTGGCCCCGTGGCTCAGAACAGCAGGCCAGACAGCACACTGGCGGCCGGCCCAGCGCTCTGGAGAGGGACCAGTCCAGGAGCTGATAAAGTCCCTGCTACAGCTGTGGCTGCACTGCCCATGAGAGGCCAGGCCATGAATGTGGAGGTCCAGCTGGTGGCCGGCCTCCTCCTAGACTGCATCTTGGGTTTACCTACCTAGACTTCCTCCGCTTCAAGGGCTTTCTTTTCACCAGCCACAGGTGAGGCAGATCAGCCCCCCTCGGACAGGGATGGCCGCTGGCACCTGGAGGAGTGGGGAGAAATAGCTCCACCTGGGCGGTGGCCGTGTGGGTGTGGCCTCCTGGCCCCTCCCTGCCGTGATCCAGCCTCGGCTCTCTCGCAGGCAGCCTAGA